CTGGGTGAGACCATAGATCCCTTTTGCCCAGTATCCGGTGTCATACAGTGGCAAAGAGTGGATGCTGAAATGGAGACAACAGGATATGACCAGGTTTTTTCTCACTGTTCCTTTCCCACTTGAAGCCTCCAGCATTTACGGTCTAGGAAGTTCTGATTCAGATGTTGTACCCCTAACTAGTGATGTACCTTTCCTCCAAACATTTGTCCAGTCCCTTTTTGAATCTGGTTAAACTGTCAGGTTCCACAACATCTGGTGGCAAAATCTGAATTACATGTTGTGTGAAAAAGAACTTTGTTTTGTTAGTTTTAAACTTATTACCTATTAGTTTGATTTTATGAACCCTAGTTCTTGTATTGTGAAAGATAGTAAATAATAAATCCCTATTTACCTTCTCTTCATCATTTAGTATTTTGTAAACCCTTATCATGTTCCCCCTCAAGCATTTCTTCTAAACTGAATAGGCCTAGGCCTCTTTAGTCTCTCCTTATATGGAAGTCCCTCCATACCACTAATCATCCTTTTTGTCCTTCTCTAGTTCTACCATATCCTTTTTGAGGTGCTGAGACCAAAACTGGGCACAATATTCAAGGTGTGGATACATGATGGATTTACAGAGGAGTACAATGACACTTTCTGTTTCCTTTACAATTCCCTTTTTTACTAATTTCTAACATTTTGTTTGCCCTTTTGATGGCTGTTTAGCACTGAGCTGATGTTTTTAGTGAGCTGTCCATATTTTGCCTCTGTTATTCACTTTCTTCCATATTGATAAGAAGAAATAACACCTGATATGAAAGCTTGGAACCCTCCACAGTTAGCCACATTGCATGTTGAAACTGTCTGTTTATTCCATTTACTCTGCTTTCTCTCTCAATCAGTTTCTAATCCATGAAAGACCTCATCTTGGTCAATTTTAAACTCTTTGAAGGAAGCCACAAATCTTTTAAAGTTCTCCTAAGCCACATGCAAATTTGTAGTGCTATATAAATATTTACAGGGGTTTAGGTTGTAGCCGTGTTGGTCTAAGGATATAGGCAGACAAGGTTCCTTGGGTGAATTTGATATCTTTTATTAGACCAACCCAAATGGTTGGAGAATAGTTATTAAGCAAGCTTTCGGGTTCAAAAACCCTTCGTCAGGCTCAGGAAGCTGCAGCAGTTGGTGTGTGCTCTTCCTGGATGGAATGAAAAGTAAACAAGCCAGGGGCTGGGCTGGGGAGTCAGTTGCCAGGCAGATTATAATGTATCAAAAATCCAACGTCTATGTTTAGTCCCTGATCTCTAGTATCCAGCAGGTTGATGAAATGGAGCTCATAGGCTCGTCTCTGGGATGTGTTGTGTAAATTTCCCTTAAGGATCAGGACTGAGAGATTGGAGAGAGAGTGGCCCTCCTGTGAGAAATGTGCCCATCAGATCATGTTCATCTCAGTGTTTTATGACAGGGGTGCCAGATCTGGTTTGCAGAATCGCTCTATCCAGCCTGTTGGGCTACCAGTGGGTTACCAGAAGTTGAGGGACATGGTCTGAGTGGTGGCCTACTGCAAAATCTTGGGCATTTGGGCCATGGTAGACATGGCAATTGGTGGTAGCCTCAGGCCCAACTCCTTGGCCACCAGCTCTGCTGACACTGTGCTGGAGCCTCTGATGCTGTGTACCCCATGGCTTGTGTCAGAGCTCAAGCTGCCATTGCAGCACAGGGCACGTGGTGGGAGCAGTGGCGCTGGCTCTGGCATGGGACATACATCAGGAGCTGGACTTGGACCATGTGCACTGGGTCAGAGCTAGAACTGCTACCACTGCATGACTTGCACTGGATTCAGCTCCCAAGGAGCCCCACACTCTGGATCCAGTTCAGAGTGCAAGGTGAGCTTGAGACCCTTGTTTTGTGGCCCTATTAGAAATATCTTTCAACTGAGTTAAAGTTCTGTGGTCTATAACTAGAGTCATATATTGCATCTTTCTTAACAGTTAGATACAATACAAATAGGGGTGGACTGATAGAGATTGCTGGGGCCGATACCAATAGCTGATTTTTAAGGAGGCAAATCAGCCGATACCGATCCAATTTCCAATACTGAAGAGCTGTGTCCAGCTGGTAAGTTTGGTGTAGTGGAAAGGGAGGGAAGAGGTGGGAGGTCATGCAGATCAAGGCCCCTGCGGTGAGGGAGGGAGTGGGGCTGGTCAGGGGCAGGCACTGACCAGCTGGGGAGGGGAGGGGAGGAAAGGGGTGTAGGACAAAGCTACAAGTGGCTTGTCCAGGGGGCTGAGGGGGAGCTGTGCCACCCAGATCTACACAGCATGGGGTAGGCTGAAGCTGTGGGCTGGGGCCAGGGTGGAGAGGCACAAGAAGGGAGGCGGGGGGGCAGCTGCCGGTGCAGATGCAGATCGGTGCCCATCTCTACCCCTGCCGCTCATCCTTGATCTGCCCCACCATGACCCTTCCTCCTCCCTTCTCCCCCGCTTCCCATTCCACCACACCAGACTTACCAGCTGCACACAGCACTCCACGCTGCCGGCTGTACTCCTTGCTGCCTATGTGCTGTGCTCCGGCTGCACGCACGCATGGGCATTTATCAGACAAATCATTGGCCACATTGGTCCGATTTTCAATACAGAACATTTTCTTTATATTGGTGCAGATCTGATACTGGGCTGATGTATCGGTGCACCTCTAAATATTATCTACTCTCCAGTAATTTACAGCAGTTGATCTGGAGGCTACTGTATTTTATAATTAATGTGGTAGCAAGTGGGGGAAACCTTTGCCTTAGAAAGATGACAACAATACTGATTACAGCAATGTTTAGCATATTTTCTCACACATCTATCTAGGCTTCATTGTCAATGACCTCCTGGTATTCTAGCCCTAAGCCTCTCCTATATTATAGATTTTGTGCTGTGGGCACACCACCTCCAGATTAGGAGCTCACTAAATTCTTTTTCACGTGACCTAAACAAAACAGGAGAATAGGGCACTTATACACATGCTCCAGGGTGGGGCATAGGGACTTTTAATTAGAATGGCTCTTGGGGGAACTGGTCTAATTAAAATGCTAGCAGCATCTTGTGTATTCAGTGCCCCATGTTTCAAAATAGTGGCAAGAGTGTTTTGATTATAGTTCATTTAACAAGCTTTAGTTAAAATGCTCCACTGTTATTTTGAAATGTGGGGGAGCTGAATACATGAGATGCTGCAGCACACTGGAGCATTCTGATTAAAATGCAAGTGTTGATTAATCGAGTCTTTTCTGATGCATTCGAATGAGAATGCGCTGGAGAATGTGTAGAAATGCCCTATGGATTCTTCCACGAGTGTGTCAGAAACTGACTCAGCATGGCACCTACCAATCTGCTTTGGGTTGCTTCAAAGGATTATATCAAGTAAGTTTCCATGATATTTTCAATATCATTTTCTGTAAAAAACATCTTCTAAACTTGAAAAAAATTCTCTCCTTATTGATTATGACTTGTTTTCCAAAATGTCCTTTGAAAAGATCAAAAATGCACATGGCTGCTCTCAGGGACAAGCTGTTCTTTCAACATTTGCCGAGTGAGAAAAAGATAGAACAAAAAATGGTCAAAAGCTTCCTAATGCAGAGAAACTGGAAGGAAAAAATCTTATACAGTGGAACCCAAATGGTTTCAGTTTATCCCATCTAGATGTGGCTACAAATTAAGCAGCATGGCTAGAAGCAAGAAGAAATGCAGTTAGTTAACTTCCCCAAAACAGAAAGTTGTGTTATGCCTGAGAAGAGCATTTACACTGGCATAAATCTTTGTCCAGCCTCCTCAGTGGTCATGTCACTCCTTGTGTTCCCCATAGCTCTGCTCTTGCCATCAGTTCTGGGAAACTACATGGATCCAACTGCAGGATCTGAGCTTGCTGGATTTATTCCAATCTCTCTTAGACTTAAATAGACTCACAACCCCATTTTCAGTGTGTTTCATACCTCTTTCAATGCTGTGTAATTGCCACTCGCTTCACTTCTCATAGCCCAAGAGGCTAGAAGAAAGCAGTGCAAGAAAAGTACCTAACAAGAAGGTGTAAGAAAATCCATATTACTTTATCACAATTTTCATTTCTCTATGTAGTCCTTTAATCCTTTAGCTCATATATAGAACCAAATCAGGCCCTTCTACAGATCAGTAAGAATGGCTGTATGGCTTATGTCTCTAATGCGTTTGATGATGTGATGCATTATGTCTAACCGTAGCCAAGCTAGCTTTGGTTTAGAACATGTGGATAACAGAAACAATGTGGTACGATGGGCTTTGGCATTAAATACATAAGCCCACCTCCATGTTTACTGGGGTGGTGTGTGAAGCCCAAACTGCCATGGCACCAACAACACTGTAAATATGAGCAATGATCTCCAGGGAAGTTTTCACACAACCTGTGTTGTCCCCATATGTGCTGCTCCCACAAGGCACATCCAGACAAGTGTGCATGTGTGGTATGCAGTACCTCAAAGCTGTTTGAGGTGCTGCAAACTGCATGCAGCACATGCACCTGTTTGCCATGCTGCAGTGCCAAATTCTGACACTGGGAGATCCTAGTATCAAACAAACAAACAAAAAAATCACTGCAAAAAAGTGGTATGGTGCATGCAGCAGCAGTGTGTGCCACTAGAAACAGAGCTTGGCCATCCAGAGCCATGCTCTGGATGCCAGCCAGGTTCCATGTGGCTGGGGCCAGATTAGCACCACTGCTGCCCTGGGAGTCCCCTAGGGAAGGCTGCTGCAGCCAACATACCTGCTTCAATTTGTGCTGTGGCAAATGCACGCCCATACATGTGCAAGCTCATTTGGATGTGCCCACAGGGTAGCACGTTGACTTCATGTAAAACTGCATGTGAGGTGCAGGAAAAGATTTTGGCCATGCTTGTGTAGATGAAGCACCAACACAATCAGTTGTGCAGCTGCAGGGGAAGTATTTATGAGTCTACTTCTGGCTTAGAGCCCACAGAGGAATCACAAGAAAGGTCAGAAATAAAATACCTCATGATATTTTTTCACTGTTTTCCCAGAGGTGCATGTGCAAGATTTCCAATTTGCAGTGCCGCATCCACAGTTCCCACCGCAGCGCTGGACCAGGAGGCAGCGGGGAAAGAAAACCACATTTGTCAGTCTCAGTTCCTCCCTTAAGTTGACAGAGTAGTTCCTCGGAGTGCAGCTGTAACGTTTCACATCATCATTCAATCTGTCCAGGTCAACTGCAATGCAAAAAAGCTCTGATTTGTAAGGGTTGAGTGGGCAGTTCCCTAGATTGACAAGTATTATTCCTTGGGAAGCTCACAACACAGTTATACTCACTGGATAGGGGCAGAAATTATATATAACTGGTATAAGTGATTGGAAACTGGTACAAATCTGTAACACAACAGAAATTCAGTGCACATAAACCACTTTCAAAATGGCTGAAACCCATTTAACATAAACCTGGATATGTAGTATCAGACTTACCTGATTTAGGTTAAATCAGTTTATTGAACTTCTGTCCCAGATCCCCTCCAGACTCAAGTTAACTCACAGGCTAGGGACAGACATTACACATAAGCAGGTTTAAGTGATGAGAAACTGGTTTAAATCTGTAGCAGACCAGACATTCAGTGCACATAAACCAGTTTGAAAATGGCTGAAAATTGTTTGAGACAAACCTGGCTGAATGTAGTATCAGACTTAACTGATTTGGCTCAAATAAGCTTATCCAATGTCTGTCCCAGACCCCTTGCTGGTTTAAGTTAAATCAGAGACTCCCAGCATCCCAGCATGCTCTCTGGGCTGGATTCTACTCCTAGGAGCTGGGCTGGCCCCTCCCCTCTGCTGTCTAGCTGGAGCAGAGGTGGAGTGTGGCCAGACGCTGACCTGCCATGGCCCCTGAGGCAAATTCCTCCCTCTGTCTCCTCTCCCCACTGACAAACCCTGTGGACCTCCATCGCTTTCCTGTAGCCCAGCAGAGACAGAATTAATTCCTCCCTCTGTTCAGCTTGCCTGCAGCCAGGGAAGAGATTTATTCCACACCAGTCCAGAGTGGGGGAGAAATGCAAGCTAGTCCCCTGTGAGCCCAGAGCCAAGACCTGCAGGACCAGGCTGAGAGGTGGGAAGTGTTGGCAAAGACCTGGCAATCATCACACGTGTGCTGGAGATGCAGTTCAGGGAAGTTGCAGACAGTTTCTGGCTGGAAGTTCCAGACCAAAGAATGCAGAGAGCTACATTTACATTATAAAGCAGAACCCGTGAAACCTAAACAAAGCCTTTCTGAATGCCTGGCTGTAAGGAGAGACTGCCCTCAGGATTAGTAAAACTTATGCAAGGCTTTCTCTTGTCTTCCTGCTTTACACTTTAAGTTATACTAAGTTGTGTATACTGTGTTTTACTGGGCTATATCTTAGCTTAGGCAAAGATTTTTGGTAGTTCCCTGTTGTATGCTTTGCAAACTGCTGTGTTCAATACATGTTTGCTTCAGAGAGAGGATTTTTCCTCACCCCCACTCAGTCTGGCAGCAGCTGCCCCTCCCCGCTGCTGCTAGCCTCTGCTGGTGCCTGGCCAGGTCCCCTATGCTCCAGCAGGTGGGGGTGAGAGCCTTGGAGGGTGTCTCTCTTTCCTCCCTGGCAGGCATACTCTAGCAGCCCCTGGCTTCTGGCTTAAGCCACTGCAGGCACATGCTTGCATTTCCTGGTTTACCAGAGAATGTCTGTCCAGTTATTAATCAGCTAAGCTGAGCAGCTTAGACTAACTTGCAAAATTGAATCAATTCAGGCTCAGGCTTCTTGAATGTCTGTCCCTAGCCACCGTCCCCAGCATCCTGGGATGTTTTACACCTGCCCTTGCAGGGTTAGTGGGCTAGCCTTGGCCCAGCTGTCTGCTCCAGCTGAGCAGAAATTCATGTTCTAGTGCCCCCTGGCTTCTGGCCTGGCCCACTGCAGGCATGTGCCAGAATCAAAAGTTCAAAAGTGAATGTTCCTTCACTTGCTTAACAGTTCAATCTACACAGCTTGAACTAACCTGTGAAGATTGAATCATGACTCAGCCTGGGGTTTTTTGATTATCTATCTTAGCCTCTACCATCATTTGTAAAATAAATTAAGCATAGAACCCAATTATTTAAAAGGTAAATATAAATGTTTTACAAAATATTCCAAGTTTTCCTTAACTAAGGGGCAGTGTGAAGCCCTTATTGCCCCTACTAAAGCACATAACAAAAATTCTACAGAGTTTCATGGCACAAGATCAGCTCCCTAGTGGGTAAGACAATAAACTGCAAGTTAGAAATTGAGTTCTTTGCTCCTGTGTGACCATGAACACCCTTTGGATTGTCTTGTCTCTCACATCATGTTTGCATACCATTTAACACTAACAGTCTACAATTTCAATTAGTCTTTGTAAATGCAACTAAATAAGAGCAAGTAATAAATCTAAAATTTATAAAGATTGTCTAATACCATGACTTGGTTGAAATGTCCTTGCACACTTCTTCACTAAGATGAGTTACCCATGAAAAATTAAACAAAAATTATAGATTATCACTGGCGGTTCTGAGATCAAAAGTTGTTTCTAGTTTTACTTTTTAAAATTCACAAAAAGTAAAAAATACCCTGAGAGCCATTTTTACAATTTTTTAAAATAAGGACTTAATGCCCTCCTCTTCCCCCTCTCCCCCTCCCTATTTTTATTCTTTGGAAGTTATTATCTTTTGGGTGTTTTTCAGATTTTGTGTTGGATTCATTACTGGGAAGTTAAAAATGTGTTTCTACAGATGTAGGGAACTGTCTAATGCAATCTGTAGTTTGCAGCTCAGTTTGTGACCCGTAAGAGAATACTTTTCATATTGAAATGGCAATCATTAGCAAATTCAAATTAAGATTCTTGGGAAGTACATTCTTAATTGATAAAAGATGGTTCAAAAGATTTACTTTGATTTAAAAAAGGCATTGAATTATAGAGAAAGGAAGCATTGAAAGATGGGAAACTAATATTGATAGTATTCATTATGTTTGGAAAAAATAACTAAATGCAAATCAAAAGAAGTTTCAACTGATAAGCAAGATTCAGCAAATGATAGGAGCTAATAGTTAAATCAACATATAAAGACATAGAACTAAGCAACAACAACAGAAGGCTATGTACTAGTGAACTCAAAATTCAAATCTTGAAAACACTTATGCATGCATTTTACTTTAATTGTGTGCAAACATCCACTGTAGTCAGTAGAACGATACCAGTTTATACCATCTGTAATTTCAGGCGTCAATCTATATACTAATAAATGTCAAAAAGTAAATTGTGCATTACCATTGATTTATACAATTTTGCAGGGAAAAGTGTATTTTTTAAACATGCACCTTTACATATGTGGCTTTAAAATAGTTATATATTCCAAATATATATGCAAAGGTGGGTGTTTGAATTATAGAAGCATAATTTACCACACTCATCTAAACTCCACTTATTATACAATATGTTGATATGATTGGTGGAAATCTAGCAGATAAATCAGAATTTTGGACATGTTGTAGCAATTCTGATACATCTCATGATTAAATCTCATCTGTTCTCTCAAGAGAACTAGTATTGCTACAAAGAAGGTATATATCTCCCTCTTGATATAAACACAAAATCAATGGGAGTTTCTAGTACACTCATGTACCGAGAGAAAAATATACCCCAATTGTCCTTAGCTAGGACTTTGAAGAATAGAGAATATTGATTTTTTTGTTTTAACAGATGATATTTTGTACTATGTTGTCATTCTTCAAAGCCACTCCCTTTCATTCCTTTTCCCTCAGGCTAATTCTTCTTTTCACATGGAAGAGGCTTTTTGTTTTCCCTCCATAATTCCCATCAGGAAATTCCAAAGACATCTTTGCTTAAAGATAAAGCAAAGATTACTTTGCAAAATATTCCCATGTTTACCTGAATCTAAGAGGACTTCAAATTTAAGGTGACCACCCTAAAATTAGAGTCTATCAATAGAAAATTATAAATTTGCTATAATTTTTCAGCATATCTTGTTTATTCTATGATTTTATGAAACTCGTCTCCCCCACAGCTGTGGGAGGGAAAGCAGCAGTGGGGGGCTGAGAGGCCAAACCCCTTCTCCTTGCAGCCCTGCCCCTTGCCTGCTCCTGTGCTTTTGCCTTCTCCCATCTGCTCCCTGTCCCCCTTGCTATTTGCCCCACCAGTGCCTGCCTTGCCTGCCACTTATCCCCACTTCCCTGCTGCCTATCCCCTTCTGTCCTGTACTCATTCCTACCCCCCTGCCACCTTTCCTGCCTGTCTCTTGCCCCTCCCCAGTGTTTCCTCTTTGTCCCTTGCTCCCAGCTTCCCACAACATAACCCCCTGCACTTCCCACCCTTGCTTCAACCCATCGTGTGCCTGTGCCTGCCCACCTAATATCTCTCCCTGGTGCCTGCCTCCCCTGTGACCTACTTCCTGTCTCCTTGCCATGGGTTCCGTGCTGCCATCCTCCCCCAACTCCTGCTCCCCCCACCTCCTGCATCCCTCTACCACTTACCTTCTGGGTGGGTCTGGCTCCAAGGCAGTCAGCAGCTGTGGTGGCCCCAGTTTGGCCACAAGCTGTGGTGGCAGCTCTGAGCTAAGCTGGGCCAGGGCCAGAACTAGAGCTTAAAATAAGTGAAGGGAGGGTAAGTGTGATGCTGCGGCTAGTAAAGCGACCAAAACGCTGGCTTGCATCCATAGATGCTTCTCAAGCAAATCCCGGGACGTCATTCTCCCCTTGTACTTGGCCTTAGTGAGGCCGCAGCTGGAGTACTGCATCCAGTTTTGGGCTCCACAATTCAAAAAGGATGTGGAGAAGCTTGAGAGAGTCCAGAGAAGAGCCACGCGCATGATCAGAGGTCAGGGAAGCAGACCCTACGATGACAGGCTGAGAGCCCTGGGGCTCTTTAGCCTGGAAAAGCGCAGGCTCAGGGGTGATCTGATGGCCACCTATACGTTTATCAGGGGTGACCAACAGTATCTGGGGGAACGTTTGTTCACCAGAGCGCCCCAAGGGATGACAACTAGGTCAAATGGTCATAAACTACTACAAGACCGTTTCAGGCTGGACATAAGGAAGAATTTCTTTACTGTCCGAGCCCCCAAGGTCTGGAACAGCCTGCCACCAGAGGTGGTTCAAGCGCCTACATTGAACACCTTCAAAAGCAAACTGGATGCTTATCTTGCTGGGATCCTATGACCCCAGCTGACTTC